CCGGCTGCTTGGCTGGCCGCTTGAGCTTCCGCTGTTCTAATTCACGCGCCCTTTGGTCCTGCTCGGCCTGCATGGCCTGCATGATCTGCAGCTGTTGTGCGATGAAATCGGAAGTCCCAGGTCTACAGCTGGGATGAGCATCGATGCATCCGGGTACGGCAGTGGCCGTCAGCTTACCTCATTCGAAGGATACGCATGACTGTTTCTCCGCTGGAGACTTCCTTTTCCTCCCGTTTCTCCTTCTTGCGCTCCTTGATAGTCCCGAGATTCCGCTGCTGATACACGCTCTTGACTCGTTTCTTCATTGTTGGTGTTGATTTGAGGCTCTGTTGCATCATCCTCACGCATTCCTCCATGAGAAGATCCCTGCCATGAAAAATCCCAATCAAGACTGGACGACGGCAGAGCAGAGAGCTTACGTGTGCCAGTCATAATACAAACGAATCGAGACGACATCGCGATACTTCTGATTCTGGATCGCCTCGAGAGGGACCGGCCCTTCGCCATTCGCATAGAAGTAGTCTCGTAAAAACTGAAGCCACAATGAGGATAAGAAATGGTGATACCAGACGGACGCACTTTCAACCACTTGAAGACAACATCAACCTCCTTGTCCGTGAGAGGCTTCATGTCGCTCGAGATATCGGAGAGCGGTGGGATCAGGAGACCCTCGATGATGTTGAGAATCTCCTTCCAGACTCGTGTCATGACCATCTCCTTCGCTGTGTCACTGAGATACGTATTGAGAGTTTGCAGATTGGCGTCGAAGTAATCGAAGAGAGGCAGGATGGCTTGCTCGATCTCAACATCAGTCAATTCGTCTGGCCGGATACGGGGTTTCTCGGAGCTCGGCAGCGGAATCTGCACTTCGTTGGACGATGTCCCGATAGCAGAGCCCCACAAAGCGGTGACATTGCTGATCGCTTTGTTGTAGTCCAATCCTGATGCGCCGCCTTTCAGAAGAGATTTGAGTACGCTGCGAGACAAGCATTGCTGGATGAATGGTGCCATCTTAAAAACGCTTAGTGACTGGCAGGACGGAAAGATTTCAACCAGTTACCTTGTCGATGAAGATGCGGACCATGTCTGACTCGGCGCGCTTCAACGAACGGAAGGCACGCCCGAAGTAGAATAGAATATCATCCTTCTCCCCTTCCATGCTGATCCTCACCAACACACGCCCTTGAGAATCCAAGTCCATCCACAGGTCATGCGTCAGGAAATCGCCAAATCGTCTGGGATCCAAGCAGAGATAAGCTCGGCCGACAGTGTCATGTTTACCGACCAGTGCCCGGTCTCTTACACTGACCATGAGCCACAAGGGTTTCTCGACTGAGATATCGAAAGTCTCATCCCCTGTGATTGGTCAGCACGAGACAACATGCGAGAGGGCAGTGCGACCCACATCGTGGACTCAAGGTGTCATAAATGGTTCTCGTTTTTGCCATACGGACACCATTCTCGTCACTTAACGTCACGAACGTATCAGCCATACGAGATGGACTGCTGTCCAAAGGCACCAGACCCTCGGCAATAACGATCTTGACAGAGAAGAGGAATCGTTCTGCCTCTGTAGTCTTGTTCGGAACAGGCGGCATCTGCTTGAGAATATCGGAGATTTTGTCAGCCTGTGTTTCGTTGTACATATTATCCAACAGTCGCCGGGCGGCTTCGACGTTGTTGAGCTTGACACATGTCTGCGGCTGGAAGTTGAAAGGCTCGACTTTCTTATCACCCGACGCCGCCAACTGTCGCGCCTTTTCAAGCCACGCGGACGACTTCTGGGGTTGCAGATAGTCTGAAGGGCGCGGGAACATCTCGGTTAGGAAAAGCCCTTCAACAGTCCGGCAATAGTGCTCGATAGCTTTGGACATGCTCTATAAACCGATCAGACATAAGAGAGAAGAGAAAGCAGAACGGGTGGACCTTTGATAGAGATGTGAAGAATCGAGCCAGCTGATACTCGTCGTCCCATTCGAGATCATGCAAAAACCCGACAGGACTGCGTAGCGAGTCAAATAGATCTACGATAGAGGAGCTGTGGCCTTCGGAGCCTTCAGCTTCGAACTGCGCCAGGTTACAACGAATGCAGACTGCAGGTAGATCCAGCTCACCTTGTCTGCTGCAATAGCCTGTCAGGATGTGAGCGCAATTCCAATCCTAACGCTACGAAGACGCACAGCTTCAACCCACTGCGACGTTTTGCTGTCTGTCGTTTGAAGCCATTGCCGAACATAGGGCTCGTAAAACGTGTTGATGTCAAATTCGATGGACGCACTGCTCCTCATTGGATTCATCACGAGGGCGAAGATGGATAATCACACTCACTCAGGGCAGAAAGCGCTGAACATGCCAAGCAAAGTCTTGGACCGTCGGTACAATGCGAAAATGTCTTGAATGGGCACATCTGGTGTTGGCCCATTCATCGAAGATTCGAACAAACGCTTTTGGGATGACTGGATTTCCTGTATGAAGCTGGGGATTGTCGCTTCTACGAAGAGGGAGACAAGGTCAAGTTTTCTGCATCGACAGCTCAGACGAGGAAGACGGATTGGAAAACAAGACCGTACCCCAATAGCGCCTCGGGGAACCGCTTGTCAAGCAGCTTGGCGGATTTTTCGAGCTCGTCAGTCATGAGCAGTAACGGCAAAGCGCGGTTGACTCCAGGGGCAGACTGCAACTCCTGCAGCTTGAGATCATACCATCGACCAGAAACTTGTCGAATTTGAGTCTGCACGTCGTTCAGCCGAGCGTCGATGTCCACATCGAATCCAAACAACTCCAATAGCCCACTGTCGCGGATATGTTCGAGCACAGACAGAAATGGCTCGACCTCAGAGGCTTTGATGTTGGGGACAGCATCCATAGCATGGTACAGGTTCGACAAAAAGGTGTTGAACAGTCCGCCGTACACATGTGCCAGATACTCGGACTGAGTAGATGATCAGCGGCTTGGTCAGGATCTTCGAGACCACTTACGTCAGCCGACGGCCACTCCTCTGGCTCGGTGTCGCTCGAGACCTTGCTGATGTGAGACAGTGCTTCAGGTATACACTCCAAGGGGATGTCCTGTCGCTCGTAAAATTGCTTTACGATGTCCACAAAACATATTGCCCGATAAGCATGCCCGATTCTCCAACGCAAAGCACATTCATTCAGTAAGTCCAGATGAGGGGTCGAAAGAATCCCAAGCGAAACCTCGTCGTTGTCATCGACCTCGGGACTGAGCATAATTTCCAGATCTGTCAATAGACAATGCTCCAGCAGCCGTTTGTAGTGCTTCTTCGGGTTAGGAGGTATGAACGTAAAGTTGTGTCCCACAGTGATTTCATCGTCATCGAGCACATCGTCCTGCATCATCTCACTATCCAGAGCGTACAGAGATCGTCGACTGCCGATGGATGTTGTCCGAGCAGGTGCGTCGTAACCCGAATACGACGACACAGGTCTTCCGGCAGACTCTCTTTCTGCTGGCGTCGACTTGGCAAGTTCCGGATTGAATTGGACCATCGCAACTACCATCTGTTGGAGGTAGCTTGTTTCCGCGGTACGCCAGTTCTGCCAAGCGGAATCCGTGCTGAAGTCTTCACGTCGTCCAGGAAAGGATGCACCTGCATTGATGTTCTTCAGACACGTCTGAGCAGAGTTAGACTTGATCAATCGCTTCAAAGTCTTGACTTACCTTGAGATCCACCAATGCAGCCTTGGGCGTGCAAGTTGCCCTGAGTGAATCCACCTCTCTCTGCAGCTGGGACTCCGGTATCCGGAACAGCCCAGCAACAACTCGCACCAGTTCCATATCCATGACGCTATTGCTGATTGCCGGAATGGAGATGGAGTCGCGAGTGGAGGAGGAATCGTATCCTGAATCGTTCGAGCTCTGTGGAGCTAATTTAGACGCGTACGTATCCAGCCTGCTTAGAAGCTCCGGCGAAACGTGGTTGACGGTCCGTAAACACTCTCGCAGCATCTTGACAAAGGTGGCGATCTGATTGTTCAGCTCGAGTTTCCATCCATCGCCGGCCAGAGAAGGCTCCTTCTTCAATACCGTCGTCGCATGTGTTGCAAACATTAGGATAAGCTCCTCTATCTTCCGATTCTCCTTCATCTGTCGCTTGAAGCTGTCGATTTGGAACTGGCCGTAGAATTTGGCCATGGTTCGACGGACGAGTTGCTCCGAGTAGCTGCATGGCGATTAGCACAAAGATTCTTGAAGAGGTGATACACACCTGGGGTCTTTGCCCATGGCAATATTCTGCAACTTTTGTTCCAAAACCTTCAACAGCTTCTCCGGAAACTTCACACTCTTAGAACCATCTCGAATGTCTTTGAATAGGTCGCCAATGGAGAAATTCGAAAGTGCAGACAGCCTCGAATGCTCTTTGTCTCGCAGATCGGAGCTCGTGGACACTTGTGTCGTTACTTCAGTTGGCTTTGGGGTCATGAGATAGCTCAGGTAACTGTGTGAAGCATAAACAGCAGCCGAGTGTCTCAGCAACCAAAGCTTACGATACACGGAGCACGTAGCTAGCAATAAACATAATGAGAGTTCTGAGAGCTCGAAATATAGTGACGCACTTGAAGAGATCATCATCGCTAACATATCTGGAGGATATGCTACCAGACACGCTGTGGTAGCTCCGTCGAGACATAAGTGGTGGCGACCTGGGCGTGAGGATTTGTTAAAGAGGTGAAGGCTGTCCAGACGGCAATTCCGGCGAGAATCACCGCCTTGCGCGAAACCGACTCGGTGCCAGGTGGTAGTGGGCAAGTCCAAATGAGGACCAAATTTTCACACGCTGCGCTCAGTCCTGGTCCCCGGTTGCTGATCCGGTTCCAGCGACGGAAGTCATCATAGGTAAGGATATACAATGAAAGCTAAACACAGGGATAATATCTCTGTTGTAGCGTGCTCCGGGGATAGAGACAAAGGTCCCATTCGATGTGCAATGCGGTCATTCCTCATGACCAGTGTACATATGTGATAAGTTGCTGTGAATGCGACCCAGCACTGACTCATCTGTGAGTCCTCGGAAGAAACTAGATCTCTCTTCGCTTGGGATCTTTGAGTCTGTTCACTGAGCATTTCAAATAAACACCTCATCTAATTGTCTACCCAACAAGTCCGGGATCAGCCAACTACCAGGATACAGAAACGAGAGAAGGAGAATCAGGATACGATCTGATGTGTATACATATGAGACCTATGTAACAAGGCAGTTCGTGGAGGTCCGCTATGAATTCACATCGGCGAAAACCCTCCGAAATCCAAGAAAGCCTCTTCGATGGACATCTTGCGGACGACGAGTGCTTCCACTATCAATCGTACCTGGGTGGAATCTATGTTTGAATCGTTCGGAGTGACAGGCACAGCGAGCGTGGAGGAGGCCAAGGAAGTGAAAACGCCCGGGGTTGCGACTACAGGAGACGGGAAAACGTCGTCATCGTCATCGTCGTAGTTGTCCGCGACTAGCTCGGCTTTGGGGACAGCTTCATCAGTAGTGGTGACTTCGACTGTCGGAAGAGAGGTGTCAAAATCTGGAGCGATAGTCTGCTCGTGTGAATTGGTTTCAGCTGTTGCAGGGTCCATTGTGATCTGTAAAGCTCCAAGACTTGACACCAGTGAGTGGGATACATCAGCTTGTTCATACTGCATCAAAGCTTTCTTCCGTTCCTCGCGTCGACGATCACGCGCAACACGTCGACTATGCGCCTTGTTAGGGAATTGCTGGTCTTCCGGTCTACTGGCATTCAATTCGGCAGCGACAGCCTTCGCGAAGGAATTGAGCTGATCCGGAAGATGTGGGCCCTTCTTTCCTTTCGTGCGCTTGGTCTTTTTTGGGGAGGAAAGAGGCATCTCAGGCTGCACATGCGCTCGAGCACGCATTGGACGCGGTTTGAAGACAGAAGCGATTTCCAGGTCCACAGAAAACCGTATTGGAGGAACCGCGACTAAGGCGTCCTCATCCTCAACATCGTCCATCGAAAACATTCCCATCCCTTCAAATTCTTCAGCGTCCGTGACTGAGAAGTCGGTTGCTGTCGTAGTATTCGAATCGTCCTCAGAACTCATCAGCAAGCCTGGCCGTTTTTGCAAACGCTTCCCATTGAGCGAGTTTGACTGAGCCGACACGTAGCCAGCAATGGCGGCGGGAACTTCGATCTCTTTCACAACAATGACACTGGCGCCTGATAACCTTTGCATAAGCTCAGCGGATGATGACGCGCAGAGAAGACGAACCTATTTCCCCAGCCATCATCTCCAGCGTTTCCAAACTCTGCTCGAGCTCATTCCGCGGCAAACCAACGAGCATGCCTGAGTCTGCCACGCCCAGCTCATAGTAGGCCTGTCCGCCGCCCTCGAGAAGACGCCACTTCATTTGTGTGACGAGGCGCGCGAACCGTGCAGGTGATGGGTCAAGGAGCTGGAGCTTGTACTCGATATTACCCTCGTCAGACTCTGGTACGAGTCGCGGGATGTTTAGTGGACTGGGCGAGGGCGATGGTGGAGTTGAGATAATGGTGTCCCAGGGACTGGGAACGCGCGGGCTTTCCGAATCAGATTCTCCGAACATGTTTGCTTCGAGATTTAGGTCTTGTGTGTTATTCGAGGAATCATGATCAATGTAGTAGAGTGTGAGGGAAAGACTGTGCTCATGGATCTACAGTGACATGGTGGTAGAAGGTAGGTGTTGAATAGGCGCACCGCCACTATGAGCGATGGAAAAAATACTTCCCCTCGCTGTTCATGGCTACCCATGACTCTTCGCAAGGGGGAGGACCACATATCTTGTAAGAGCTCAGATACGGAGAACGGGTGCAGGATGGAATCAGTACAAGTGTAGCGCTTGCATGAGCTTGCCTCCTACGAGATTCAGTATATTGTGGTTACAGCTTCAACTACCTATTCACACAGATGCTGGAAATGAGAAAGGCGCGAGCGAAAGAACAGTGGGTGTGCGGGTGGAAGAGTATGCGGAGTATATGGGTAGGTACGTTCGGGATGTAGGAATGGGGGTTTGGGAATACATGGCGATGGCGATGGATGCGAAAGCGATAATATATATGTATCTGAACGCACGTTAGAGAAACGACGTATTCAATAGAGATTGTCACATCGCTTACGTGTATAAACAGTCCCTTCCGTTTACGCCTTGGGGGCGTCTTTGAAGGAAATGGCCTGCTCTTCACCCATAGCGCTGACGATGGTAACAAGGAGGTCCTTGCCGCTATCGAATTCGCTCTGGATCTGGTTGCCGATGTCACCCTCGGGGACGCGAACGTCGTCCTTGGCAGTGCCGTCTTGAGTCATCAAGTTGAGGAAGCCATCGTCGATGTTGACCTGCGTCAATTCAAGAGACCATCGTGAAAAGACGAAGAAAACCCACGAGCTGGTACTCGTTACGAGAAACGTTGGGAACATCCATGTTGTGGGTGGAAGGGGAGATATCTTCCTGTGAAGATCATCTATGTGACTGACATATCGGTGGATGGTTTGATGTACCAGCTTTTTACCAGTGAAGATCTGTGCGTTGTCTGTTAAACACCAAGAAAGAGCGGCAAAAAGAGAATCCGCTTACGTCGATGGCGACGAGGTGGACTTTGGCGTGTCCATGCTTGCCGGTCTTAGAGGTAGACATGTCAACGATCTTGCAGGGACGACCTGGGGATGAGATCGATGGTTAGAGAGTGCTTCGTAGATCGAAGATCGCGGCGAGAGGACCTTTGATAACGACGTGACCGTTCTTGCGCAGAGCAGAGCATTGCATCGGGAACGTCAAAGACGCGCCGGCGCTGGCCTAGAAAAATATTGGCACGACATCGCGATCCTGAGAAGATTTTCATGTACCTGCTCGAAGGTCTGATTGTGAGATTCATCGTCGGACATGACTGATAAAAAGGGAGTTAGATAGAACACGAAGCGATGTGGAAAGGGTACAGACTGGTGTGGTCGTTGAGAAGAGAGCAGGAGGAGGAAGGATGTAAGTCTAAGTTGGGTAAGCGAAAAACAGGGGTGGCTGTGTAGAGTTTGCCAGTATTTCTCTGGTCGAATCAAGAGGCCACTTATGGCTGTGCTGTCACGGGTTGACCTAATACCCTGTCACACCTAACACTATGGAATATGCTGCCAACAGATTACTGGACGCCGCTACTCAGCGCATGATCCACGCTGCTGCGTTCTCCAGGGCATCCGCTCAAGCATGCAGCGTTCTCACAGATCTCCTTGTCCGCTATATATCTCTGCTCGCTGCAACAACCGGCAAATACGCGGAACACGCAGGCCGCACCAATCTCACCATGGCAGATGCTCTTTCTGCTCTCGAAGAATTGGGATCGGAGTCAGAAGATCTCATCCATTACATGAGCGAGGCGAAAGAGCTGTCGCGATATGCGATTTACTCGCTGCGCCGAGTCGAGGAGTTGCACGAGTTCAAAGCTCGCTTGGGCAAGCATGCACGCGATGACTCTTTCATGCTGGAATACGAACTCTACGAGGATGCAAATCTGTCTGATGATGAGGTCATGGATGAAGAGGAAGAAGACGCAGAGCCTCTCTCGACGACGTCGCGTGCTGTCGATTGGGACGGGCACGTCCCGAGCTTTCTACCTGCCTTCCCCGAAGTCACTCCGGTAGCGCCAGAATCCCCACGTCCCGACTCTCCTCAGCCCATGCCTCCCACTGCCACTGTCGGGCTGCCCGGCGCTGCTGCATTGCCCCAGCTCACGGCCACTTCAACTTCAGCTGCCGACTACCTGATCCAAATCCCATATGACGAGTCTTCACTAGCCGAAGCCGCCCATTGGCATTTACCTGCGCAATCCATGGAACCGTCCGACGCGCCCTCTGCTATTGGTGCCAATCCTTCTTTTGATCCACCTAAGCTTGCCCTATACAAAGCCTTTGTTCATGCTCTCAGGCATCCTCAGCGAGATACGGGACCCTCAAATCCAGCTCGCCATCGCGTCTCAATGTCGTTGCTGCAACTAACCCAGGTCGTTCCTCGTTGGGATCTGCCTCCTTCGATGTATGCATCGTCGGCGCCTGGGCCTCCACGCGCTTGGCCGATTGTACCAACATATGCCAAGCCCATGAACGAAGCCGAGGTTCCACGACGTTTTCTTCCTACCACTCGAAATGTTGCATATCCTGAGCGCATAGAACCCATCGTTGGTTCGCAAGGTTCGCGCCTTCCTGAGCTTGCGCGGCAGGTGCTGCCTCCGACTATCTACAACCGCTTGACGCGCATAAATCATCCACCACCGCTGACTCGTGGTGCGAAGTCCCTAACGTATGGCCCTGGGGTACCAGCACCGTGGAACGCGCCGGATAACAAAGAAGAGAATGCCAAGGACCGAGATAGTCGGGAACCTAAAGTTGTGGATGCCCGGGTCTTTGCAACCTGGGAATACGAGGCGAAGGACTTTCGGAATCCAATACGAAAATCTCGCGCACAGCCTCCTGGGCCGGGTCCAACTTCGAGGAGAAGTAATCGCGCACAGTAGTTAGCACGTATCATAAATGGGAAAATCTGAAAAGATCAATCGAACGGTTCCTCTACACTTGAAAATATCAGCGACACCGCTTAATTGACGTGTGGCTGTGCTGTGTTGTGACTCTTTCTCGCAAAATTCGACTCAATTTGACTCGTACAACTGGGACTCTACTCATCGATAAATAGACTGCCCAGAGATCGGGTTCGATAATCATTCTTCGCGCATCAAAGAAGAGTTCTCTCTTCAAGCGCTTTCTATCCAAGATGGCCACCGATACGCAAACTATCGAGTTGGTTCAAGTACGCTTTGCACATGAGTATTCTATTCTCCTGCTTACAATGCGCGTTTTCAGACAGGGAAGCGCGATTATCTAATAGGACTTGAGAAAAAATATCAAGCACGATGGGCGCAAGAGAAAGTCTTCGAGGTCAACGCTCCCCCGGCTGCGGACTTACAAGGTCTTACACCAGACCAAATTCGCGAGAAATACCCCAAGTGGTTCGGCACTTTCCCTTATCCATACACGAATGGAAGCTTGCATCTGGGACACGCATTCACCATTAGCAAGATCGAGTTCGCAGCGGGGTACCAGCGTATGCTAGGAAAACGAGTTTTGTTCCCTCATGGATTTCACGTAACCGGTCTTCCAATCAAGGTGTGTGGTGGACCATCTGAGGCTACTATCGCGAACGACGGTCTACATAGGCGTCTGCGGACAAATTAGTGCGGGAAATGGAGATGTTTGGCAGGGATTTCGAAAACTTCGAGGAGGTTCAGCAGAAGTTGGCTGAAGAAGCTGAGGATGCACCCAAGGAGGAAAAGCCAGTTGTTGCGAAGGAGGGAGCCGTCGACAATTTCAAGGGAAAGAAGGGAAAGCTCCAGGCCAAGTCAACGGGACACGTTTACCAGTTCCAAATCCTGCAGTCCATTGGTATTCCGACGGCTGACATCAAGTCGTTCGCCGACCCTCAGCACTGGCTGGAGTTCTTCCCCCCTATCGCGATGGAGGACAATAACGCATTTGGCTCGCGTGTCGACTGGCGGAGGCGGTTTTTGACAACGCCTGCGAATCCGTACTACGACGGTTTCGTTCGATGGCAGGTGAACAAATTACATGCCATGGGCAAGATCAAGTTCGGAGAGCGATACACCATCTATAGTCCCAAGGATGGCCAACCATGCATGGATCACGATCGGTCAGATGGTGAGGGTGTCGGCCCGCAAGAGTACACGGCAGTCAAAATGGAGGTGGTGGACTGGAGTCCAGCAGCCAAGGATGCTATCGAGGGGAAAGTTGGTGGGCGCAAAGTGTTTTTGGTCGCTGCGACCTTGCGACCGGAAACGATGTACGTGCTCTTCGTTCCATCCTTCCCAGCACCTACTCACTCACGCAGGTACGGCCAGACCAACTGCTTCGTCGGTCCTACGATCAAATACGGCGTGTTCGCGGTCAACGACAACGAAGCTTTTGTGTGCACTTACCGAGCCGCACGGAACATGACGTTCCAGGGTATTACGAAGACACGCGGCGAGATCGATCAGTTGCAGGAGCTCGAAGGCTCGGCAATTGTGGGGACGCGCATCAAGGCACCATTTGCTATCAACCCGGAGGTGTACGTCTTGCCGATGGAGAGTGTACTACCTACAAAAGGAACTGGCGTCGTAACGTCTGTTCCATCGGACTCTCCTGACGACTGTGCGACACTCAACGATCTAGTGAAAAAGGCTGCATTCTACGGGATCAAGCCTGAGTGGGCTGCGATCTCACCTGTACCTGTCATCTCGACTGCTGGCTACGGCGACATGATTGCACCATCTTTATTGAAGAGCATGAAGATCAACTCGCCGAAGGACGCCAAGCAGCTGGCTGAAGCGAAGGACATTGCGTACAAGGAGGGCTTCTACAACGGGACCATGCTGGTGGGCGAGTTCAAGGGCATGCGTGTTGAGGAAGCGAAGCCACGGGTCAGGCAGCGGATGATCGACGCCGGACTGGCCATGGCTTACGCAGAGCCAGAAGGCCTTGTAATCAGCCGAAGCACAGACGAGTGTGTCGTCGCGTTGATGGACCAGTGGTACATGGACTACGGCGAGGAGAAATGGCGTGCCGCGACAGAGAGAGCTCTATCGAAGATGCATTTCTACTCTGCTGAGACACAACATTCTTTCGAAGCGACTTTGGGCTGGTTGAATCAATGGGCTTGCGCTCGAACATACGGTCTAGGATCTGTTTTGCCATGGGACCCCCAGTTCTTGGTCGAGTCACTGACAGACTCAACAATCTACATGAGCTATTATACTGTCGCCCAATTGTTACATGGTGAGCTCATCTAACTTCTCTCGTCATTTTGTTCTGACCCGCATGCGTCCAGAGAATAGCATCGATGGCTCCGTCCCGGGGCCGTTGGGGATCACTGCAGAGCAAATGACCGACGAAATGTGGGAATATGTCCTATGTGATGGACCATATCCGCCATCGACATCCGTGCTGAAAGAAAAGGCAGACGCGCTGAAGCATGAGTTCAACTACTTCTATCCGCTGGACATTCGTTCTTCCGCGAAGGACTTGGTGCCGAATCACTTGACCTTCTGCTTGTATAATCACGTCGCCATCTTCCCCGAGGACAAATGGCCGCGGAGCTTCCGAACGAACGGACATTTGTTGTTGAACGGGAAAAAGATGTCCAAGGGCGCAGGCAACTTCTTGACCCTGCGAGAGGGCATTAAAAAGTTTGGTGCGGACGCGACGCGTTTGTCTCTGGCTGATGCTGGAGATGGTGTCGAGGACGCTAATTTTGACGAGAAGACGGCGAATGCGAACATCTTGCGAGTGCACACCCTCGTGAGCTGGTGCGAGGAGATGATCAAGGATCAAGCGACTCTCCGCACTGGAAAGAAGGGCTCCTATCACGATGTCGTTTTCGAGCAGGAGACCAATGAGCTTATCAACATCACTCAGTCTCACTACGAAGAGTACGCTACCGATCCGTGGTTTTCCTTGGTCGAGACTGACTCAGCATGCGCAGAATGAACTACAAGGATGCGCTCAAGTTCGGCTTCTATGAGCTGCAGTCTGCTCGAGACTGGTATCGAGAGGTCACGGCCGACATCGGCATGCATGCCGAGTTGGTTAAGAATTGGATTCAAGTAGCTGCGTTGCTGATCACACCGATCGCTCCCCATTTAGCAGAGCATCTCCATTCGACCCTTCTCCAATCGCCGACTTCAGTGCAGCTTGCTCTGTGGCCAACACCTTCCGAGACCGTTGACCGGACTGTCATCGAAACTGGCCTTTATATGCGTGGTCTCACCAAGACTATCCGCGATGCAGAACTCACTCTCGTCCGGTTGATGACCAAGGGTAGGAGCAAAGGCAAGACCGCCGACAAGGGACCCGCATTTGACCCGAAGAAGCCAAAGAGTGTTAGGATATATGTGGCCAGCTCTTTCCCCGACTGGCAAAACACTTGCGTCGCCATCGCCAAAGAGGCATTCGGTGCGGACACCCAGT